GTCGACGTAAGGTAGTGTGGGTTATGTAGATATACGTAATATGCTGTGCGATATGACGTAGGCCCTACCACTTTCTCTACTCTCACGGCCAAAAGGTCGCCTGTCGGCCGGAGATGCGAAATGTTTCTTGTCGCCAGTCGAGAGAAATACTCGCTAAGTGCGATTGACTTGATATATCGAAGACTGCTGGTAGTATGAATGTTAGAATCTGTGTAATTACTCATTATCTTTCATTACCGGTGGATGAACACTTTGGGAGCATCTAATATGTATTTTGTTTGAATTATATTATAATTGCAATTTGGCTTCTACAGTTGAATACGTACGCATTTTTGCAAATATTTGTTTGTAATGTCATTTTGCATTCAAAACATTTAATTTTTATTGAATAACAAAGATTTCAATTTTAAGAGACGCTCTTTCGATCCTATTTCGATGCCTCGCTAAACATGACATGTCATAAAACAAAAAGATTAAGAATGTACCTATCTATATAGGTAAATAAAATTGAAGTGTCTGTTTGTTATATTTAAATAACCGCTTTTCACCACACGTATTGGCTAATCTTTGAAATGGCTGGACCGATTTTGACGAGACTTTTATTGGCAGGTAGCTAATGTACCAAGGAGTACACTAGTGTACTTTTATTAAATAGAAAACGCAGATGAAGTTGCGAGTTCACCTAGTAATTAGATAAAAGTGAGTCGTGTCATCAATTAATTCACTTTTGTTTTCTTCCTGTCTTTGCGAAACGCGAGTGTGAGATGAGAAAACTAAGGTAAGATTAAGGTGAGGTAAGGTAACACTTATCTTTTTTTAAGGTGGGAAAATCATCGAATGACTCCTCCCACCTGGGTGAGGCGGGAGGGAGTGTCAGACTCTTACTGACTAAAAACCAATCCATTCCTACTCCTGCACGTCGAGCCGGAGCCCCGGTTACCCGTTAGGTTCTCCGCGACTCCGAATCGGCATCGGCCCTGTTGGGTCATGCTGAGGAAGACATGTCAGGAGATAACTTTTATCTTTTAAACTGCAAACGAATTTACTACGTCTAATTATGAACGCTGTAGTAAATAAAATAATATACGGAGGTTCGTTTGCTGACGTTACGCGATGACAATGAAAATTCTAACAATTTGTTTAGTTTTTTAAGTTTCTATTATGCAATGGTACGTCTAAATACCTTAGAAATAGGCCACTAACTATTGTAAAAATTGTACCAAATATTATGTAAACTAACGTATTTTTATGCTAAAATCGCTCGTAACATATTAGTTCAGTGTTTAAGCTGATTGGTAGCAATTTTAAGGTAGTAGTAAATTTCTAACATTTTGAAAATTTTGCATTCATGAATAAAATAATACTTAAAATGTTACGAACCTAAAGGTTAGGCAACAGACATAAATGTGTAACATTTCCCTAACTTGACTATAAAGAAGACAAAACTTCCGACGTTTTAACATTGTAAAGAAGAACGTGAAAGGTAACGTAATCCCCTAAAGGGGCATGCATATGGTCTTGTACCAGGTTCAATTTTACGATCTCCGGCCACCGTAAGCACGGGCCTGCGGACGGCGAGCATGGGTGGCTCGCCGCCCGATCAGAACCAGACCCAAGCGTACCCCGCGCGCCTCAAAGAGCCATCAGATCACCACGGATAGGGTCCCATAGGGCTGATGCCGAATCGGAGCCGCAAAGAACCTAACGGGTTACCGGGGCTCCGGTTCGAAGGGCAGGAGTAGGTACGGGGTGGTTTTTAGTCAGTAAATCTGACACCTCCCTCTCTCCCTCCTGCCGCACCCAGGTGGAAGAAGCCATTCGATGATTTTATCCCTTAAAAAAATACCAGGTACAATTTTAGAAACTGTTCAAATACTCGACTAAATATCTGAAGCATTTTGTCCAACCCTTGCTCAGCGTTCGCTTCACGCTCATTGGCCGATGCAACTATAGAACTAACCACAAATACTGACGTCACATTTCAAAAATTCTGCTGTTCTAAAAAATCTGATCCGATCAAGGCAAAGACATCAGCTAGACAGCCTCATCACTTCCCATTCCGCCTCGCACTTGACGTTACAGCAAAGAGGTGTGAACTTGGAGAAAGTCATATTCTTATTTCTGTCATCTTCCAACCTTTATTTTGTATCCAACTATTTCATTTCCCACCTTATGTTCATTGTTTTTGAGTTCACTTTCTATTTTTGTGACTGTATTATTAAGTTTGTTACGCAAATGTGTGAGCATTAGCATATGTGTTTGGATTACTTGTGTTAGCAGTTCACAGATGGTTGGGTTTTCATTATGCGTTGAATTGTCGCATGTTATGTCATGGTGTGTATGGTAATGTACGAATCGCACGTGTCCATCTTTTGACGTGGATTTTACGTTCGCGTGAAACGTGGCTAATCACTTGCATTCCACTATTTGACAGATGAATGGTACAATACAGTTAAAGAATTAATGATAATTTAAGAATGATTTACTGATCATGTTAAGATTTAATTACCGATTTTAGTACATAGTAATATACATATTTTCTATTTGACACTAACAGTAATAATTTATTTATTATTTTATTTAAGTCACGCTCAAGTATAGTCTGTCACTACAAATTCTTCGTAAAATGACAGAGACGGCACGATATTTAAGTACAATTTAAAATCGATTAGTCTTTCAGTATTCGGGCGTTAAGAAATCAAACACAAGTCTGTCTTCAACCCATCTCTTTGAATACATAAAACTTCTACCTACCACAAAGCTTACATCAGCTCACGATAAACATCAAACAAACAAAAAGAAGGCAGGAAGAACTAAGGAAACATCGAATAATAAGTTAAAATCATCCAATAAGGAAAGAAAAGGCATCAGATAAGTTCACTTACCGATCAAACCGGCTAAAATATAAAAGAAACAGGTTTTTCAATACTTTCTACAAACATTGATAATAGTTTGTTATATAAATTAGAAACCGCATATGGAATGGATGCCTCAGGAAATGGAATCAATGGTAGCGTCCGAATTTTGCATACGTTAGACGAAGACGAGGCGCATTGTGTAACATTTGATTATATTGTGTGTGCGAAAAACCTGTTGCTAGGAATAGGATGACATCTTCATAAAAAGAGTAAGTGTATCTTTAAAATTATTAGGAATGTTGAAGACCTTCCCAAAACCGAAATCACCATTATGAAATAAAATGTAGCTACTTATTGTAGTATATGTATCTAGCATGAAAATATTTTATATGAAGTATTTATTGCAAATAGACCGACCCAAGCCAATTACACGATTTAGTAGCAAACCCAATCAGGCAATCAGAATAAATCACATCAGCAAAACATTGATTAATCACATACCATCAAAGTCAATATGTAGGACAGAGTTAATAATATTAATCGAGTACTCAAACAATTTCAAAATGATATACTATTAACGCACGGTCATACTGATAGGAATTCCATACAACACACTAGGTCAAAGGTTAGGATTAAATTGAGAAACGTGCTGAATTTGGCTAAGCATAATTAGGTTTTTACAAGCAATAATCACAGCAATTTGACGATTAAACATAACATTGATGATGATGTGACTGCATAAGTCTGTAAATAATCTTCCTTGAAATTCCACGGCGAATTCATAATAATAGATAATCTTAGAGGACATAAAACATTGCAACATCTGACACGAAATTCTTAACCTCTAGAAATGGAAGCATAGATAAACATCGAGATAAACAAAGAGGCAGTTTTTGCAGCACTATCTAATACGGTTGGAGATGACGTCTTCCCATTGAGCGAGCGTTGAATGCGCGGTATTCGCATGATTGCGCAAGCACATCATTGCTTTCCCATCGCTACGACTAATATAACGAACGATCTCGGTCTAGTGTGGGAAATTGAGATAGGCGTGGAACGTCAAGAGTTTATACGTAATATCAAACGTTTGGACAACAATTTGAGATTGGACGTGGCACATCATGATTTGATTCATTGTAAAGTTTCAATGGAAGCGGCGTTTTATTTTTATGGTTTGAGGAAGTTGGAGTTTAGAAGATTCTCATGGTGTGATAACCAAAAACGATGATGGTTTGATAGGATTTAGTTTTATCGAAAAACTATTATTTATTTATACTTTCCCTTTTATTATTATAAAGCTAATAAAAACTGTAATGCAATTAGATACACAATGCAATTTATAAAAGTTTCACGAATTTCATCTATTGTCACCTCGAACCAGATTTAACAAGTGATAATCCGATAATTGTCAAAGCTTTAACTAATCAAGATATCTTTCAACGTAATCAATTAATCAATCTAGGTTATTCAGCAACGGACTAGATAAAAACTGGACTACTTAGGAACTAACACAGAATATAAAAACGTAATAAAACTTTAACGTAACGTGGTAATCATTTAACATGGCGCCGTAGAGTTGCCTCAAAATAATTTCAATCATTTACACTTTGGAAATCTGCTATAATTTTGTTATTTAGAATACCGCTACGGATTTTATGGCACACTGATTGTGGCTATTTACAACATTCTATTACTTATAATTGAAATTAAGTGATGTGGTAAGTAGAATGATATAACTGGCAGTAACGTTGCACACTCGCAGAGGACTTTATTGCCATGGCAATAGATAATGATGTAAAAGTAAGCAGCAAATGTATTGAAGATGATTGTAAAGGGATTGCTGATGGGGCAATTAAATTTAAATGTATGTAAATGTGTTACACGCAACTGTAATGCAAATAAGAGAAAGAAGATTACTTATTTCCTAAACATGGTATTACGAGAGCTATTTGACCTTCGATACTGTTTCATAGATGGAGTCCGTAGCTTGTTAAATAGAAATTGAAGTAATTAGAACAACATCAGCACTGTTGAATGATTAATAAATTCGTCATTGTTAACTAAATATTTCCCAAAATTAGACCTAAAATCAAATAGATACGAAAACAATGTAGCTCAAAAAGCTTATAAAAGAAGACTTACTCAAGACATCTGTGCAAGAAGTGCAGGAAGGCAGGGTCGTCTGACCTCACGATGGTTGTGAGCGCTCTGGTGCCAGGCCTCCGCTTGCGGCCCTTAGAGTTGGTGATGCTGCGGGGGCAGCCTTTTGAGTCTGCATAAAAATGAAAGATATAAGACACGGTCAGGTCTAATGCCATGAAATAGCTTAATGGAAATAAATAAAAATAGATCAGAACCAATATGAAAAGATTATCTCACCAAAGAACAATCTCTTCCTTGTAGCATGCAGCAGCAGGTCTGGGGGAGGTGGTCCAAGCAGCTCCATGATACAAGCCAGCTGTTCTGATTCATTCTCGCCCGGGAACAGGGGGTATCCCGTGTGGAGTTCCGCTAGGATGCATCCTGGGACCAACGTAGATTGTGATTTTAAATATTATAATTTAGTGTATGTACCTATTTTAAAAATTGGTAAATTACAAATACATCTTGGCAAAACAGAGTTAGGAATAATTGAGGCCAAATCATTATAGGTACGAACCTGTGACGACCTGGTACACTATGACTCAACCGGTTTTCATACTAATTATTTTTATCGAGTTTAAAAACAGGAGGTACTATGTTCGGATGACTGTTTATTCATGGGATATGGTCCAAAGTGGATGAATCTCTTTTTTGCCAAGCTGTACTTAACAATAATTTGTCCGACTATTTATGATATTTTTTTTTTAAGAAGTGATGAGAAAAACTGTTGGTAGGCGATGCCGTCGATCATAAGTTGCGTAAAGGTTGCATTCCTTAGTGTCGATGTCTGCTGTGCAAATCATGGGGTCACCTTTCTCCCTCACTTTCTATAGTTAAGGATTGTGACGCGGACGCTCTTGTACGGTCAATGACAGCACGGTTAGTGTTACACAGTTGAAGTTTTTTTGCGAATGAATGGATTTTAATTATGTGCTTTGTATAAAATGTGATATTTTTTTGGCTGAGGAGCAGCTAAAGTTATTTTGTCACCTATAAATATGAATCTAGATACAACAGACTGAGTTTGTTTCAGCGTCTCTTCTCAGAGTAGTCAGTAAGGAAATGCCGGCCCTCCTCTAGTAATTTAAAGATTGACGTGTTACGTTACTTTGTAACCCATTTGCAGAAATAATTATCATTTCATTTCATTTTAACATTGTCTTTCACTAATTAGAAACAAATAAATTCTAGGTTTTGATACTAATAAGAAAACCTCTACAAATTAATTATTGATTACCAAAAAAACAGTGTGAATTAGTGTCGGTGTATATATTAACTTTGACTTACTTTACCAACTCATGCACCTGTTAAAACACTTGCATTTTTTTAGACTACCATTGCATGCAACGTGAGAGAATGAATCGTGATCAAACCAACGATAGATCTTACTTTGGTCTATAATTATATGTTATGCTTTAGTTCTCCTTTTGTTTATGTTTATTTGCTGCCCAATACAGATCCAGTCAGACAGTATTGAAGCTAATGTAGTATTCTGTGTAAGATAATACTAATCACCACTTTCTCTAGATAGATGTTAAGTTAATTTCCTTGAAAGCTATTGTTAATAGAACTGCTTTCAGTAGTAAAATGTTACTGGGTCTCAATTTTATAAGCTTTAGAATTATCCGCGGATTTTTATAGACCTGTGTGCTGCTAATCTATAAATATTTATTGGTATGATATTTCTTATAATGGTAGTTTTTTTCAATAAATGACTAAGCATAGAATTAAAAAATAAAACATTTGTCTGGATATTACTGTACAGAGTTCTGTCACTATTTATAAATTCCCTTATAATAATAATACCTATGTATATGTATACCTCTAATTTATTTGTAAATGTGTTCACCTGTTGTGTGTTGTGTATAAATTAATAAATAAAACAAAATAAAATAAATAATTCACGAAAAAAATCAATGATGCTCTCCGCCCTAGACATGAAATCAGAGATCTAGTTCGTATTATAGCACTAACAATCACATCAACAAAGACACAATAGATATCAGCATCTACCGTTAAAATTGACAATACCAATCAAAATGAAATAACAAGGAGAAACATACATTTATGAAGTTAATTACTCCAATACTGTGTCAAATATAATTATCATACGTAACACAATTGGGTTGAGGTCCATCACTATTCTATTTTTTATACAAACGCTTGTTAAAAGCCTTTCATAATGTTTTAAAAGGCATTTGTAATAGGTAAATATGTACCTAGTGCTTAATTAATAATTGGGACGAACAACGGTGCAGAATAAGAATATTACGACACAATGGTTAGAGCAAATTTATGACTATTAGGCAAAGGGTAAATCTAAGAATATATTAAAGTTGCTATTCATCGTCGTCTTCAACAGCCTATAAGACTGCACGGTTGGTGCGGTGGCTGGGCAACCGGCTGCCGTGCAACGTGTCGCGGGTTCGATTCCCGCACGGGACAACACTTTGTGTGATCCACAAATTGTTGTTTTGGGTCTGGGTGTCTTTGTGTATGTGAACTTGTATGTTTGTAAACGCACCCACGACACAGGAGAAAATCCTAGTGTGGGGCAACGTTTTAAAAAAAAAAAATAAGTGCCCACTGCTGAGCAAAGCCTCTTCTCACACGGGATAGGTTTGAGCATTAATCACCACGCTTGCTCAATGCGGGTTGACGATTTCAAACTTATATTAGAATAAAATTAGCCCAATTGGTTCAGCCATTCTCGAGTTTTAGCGAAACTAACAAACGGAAATTAATTTTAATTTAAATAGATTAGTGTTATGTTAACACGGTTATACACCAAGTACATTAACACACACACAGAAAGAAATTAAAAATAATCAAACAGTTACAATATCATAAAAAAAAGAAAAAGCCCCATAAATGAACATCATATTATAATAAATTAACTAGAACAAAAAACAAACATTTAAAAGTTTCTTTGAAATCATCATGATAAGCTATGAGCCGTCTTCTGCTGAACGTAGGCCTAAACTAAGGACTTCTAAATCGACAAGATTTACAATGGGCATATACAAAGATGTAAGTCTGTCTATCCGTAATGTGACAACCCATAAAAACGAGTATGACATAGAACTGAGTCATAGCAGTATGGTACTCACCCATGCTCCACATATCGATAGGGGTCCCGTACTGCAAGCCCAGTATAACCTCAGGGCTCCGGTAGAACCTCGACTGTATGTAGGTGTAGACCCGCGCATGTGTGTAGCAGGAGCTCCCGAAGTCAATCACCTTGATTGAGGAACTGCCTCTCGCTTTTAGTAGAATATTCTCCTGAAAGAATATAATAATATATCAATTATATAAGTATTTTTTTAAAGAATTCAACAAATATTCCATAGAGTAGTATTACTGAAGATAGCAGAAGTTCATGTAATCATAAGAAATGGAAACGGACCCATTTAGTTTATTCCCATTCGAATAAAATTTAGATTGATAATAATTAGCATCACTTGTGTCGTGCAATTGAGTAAAAATACTAACGGAATATCTTTAGGTTGTCTCACAAAATGATGTAAATTACACATGAATCAAATAATATTAAAATGAAACATTTTTTTAAAAGAAAAATCTCATCTCTCATTGTTACTTCGTTAGCAGGAGTATCGAACCGCAAAAATTAAAAACCAAAAATGCAAAAAACACCATACATGACCTGACAATTAAACTGTTCAATGAGGTGCATGATGTTCATACTGATCTAAAAATAGAAGTGGAGAGGTCAAATACTCACTGGTTTGAGGTCACAGTGTATGATGTTCTCCCCTTCCAGCAGCCTGAGGCATCGGAGGAGGGAACTCGCGAACCTCCTGATGAGGCTCAGGCTGAACCCTTGGTAGTTGTTCTTCTTGATTAGCTCGTACAAGTTGATACTGGAAATTGAAACGCATTTTGTTAATTGACTAAAAGATTAGAAGAGTTGGGTAGTCGTGTTTGGAAGTGTGGTAAAATCTTGAAGATAGATTAGGGATGTAGGCAGGCTTGCTTTTTTATGGGATAACCCGTGAAACGAACAGACTGATCACCTGATGGTAAGCAATCAGTGTCGAGAATTGTCTTTTGAGAATTGGGAATTGAGGATTGTGGAGGATACAACCAAACTTTGCTCCCAGTAAAGAAGTTTTAGTTAGAGTATCTTGCTTACTTGACTCTTTTCCATCATACACCTCATATGCCTCTAATTGGGCATTACTTTTTGCACTACTGTCCTTAATATTAAGGTCTAAAATTATAAATATTCCCATACAGCCATCTCCATAACTGCAAGAGTACCATGGGTCATAATCCTCACCTCATAAGCTCAAAACTGATGCAAAGATGGTTTCTAAAGTAGAAATAGTCGAGCATATGAATCACGTTGTGGGCTTGGTCCTTATCCTTCAACCGGAGATGGTCCAGCACTCTCACTTCCACCAGCGCCTGATGATGGAATCGCTTTTTATTCCTGATGATCTTGATCGCGACCTGGGTCCCTGTGCGGTGATCTTGAGCCCTGATGACCTGGCCAAAGGATCCTTTGCCGATCACTTCGAGGATCTCATATCTGTACGCTATGTGGTCGTGGATTTGCTGAAAAGATAGAAAGAGGAGGATTAGAAAATGAGGAGGTGTTGCGAATGCTGTATTTGTATTTTTTAACCGAAACATAACATTTGCCTAACACTTTTTATTTTGCCTAGAACTAGATAAAAGTTTAAATCCATGAGTCACTTTTTGGAGAGGTTACAGACAATACGGTATTTAACTAGGAGTCAAATTCAATACGTTTTTCTATAGAAAACTGTCAAAAACGACAGTTTTCTATGAATTTTGTACGAGATTGTGACGTCACATATTTTTAGCGTCAAACAGCGTATTTATGTCTTAAAGATTTGCTAAATTATACTAAAATTTTGTTGGTCATAAAATCAATTAATGAAAGTGTGATTATTTTTTTAATGTTTCATTGTATTGAACAGTCGAAATCATGGAATAGACCCAGGTGGTCTCAGATTCTCTGTTATTACATGATTAAAGAACTCAATAATAAGTAACCGCAGACCTCAACCTCAAAAGTCAGGCCATCTCACTTAGTTTGGTATTTTCATCTAATTGATCGTAATCTTGCATTGAGATTTTCCTAAAGCGGTCATTATGACCAATTTCTTTGTTGACCGTCTGGCATCTGAATGGTAAGTGCTTACCATATTGATCTTCAATATAATCCAAGTAAATTACTATAGTATTGGAAAGTAAATAGAAATCTTCTTTACATACATACAATATTTAGCTTTCAAACTTACATATTGTGATGTTCAGTTAACAAGTTAATAATGATGTGTACGACAACGGCTTTTAAAAGACGGCTGATGTAGCAGGTTTTAAGAATTTATTTCTTACTAGCTACTTCCGCGCGGTTTCACACGCTCTGCTCAGCTCATATTGGTCGTAGCGTGATGTTTTATAGCCTATAGCCATCCTCGATAAATGTGCTATCCAATACAAGAAGAATTATTCAAATCAGACTTGTAGTTACGGAGATTAGCGCGTTCAAACAAACAAACAAAAAAAAAACAAACTTTTCCGCTTTATATAATAGTAAGTAAAGTAAAAGATGTTTACATAAATATCCTTATGTTTAATGAAGTAGACATGACCAGACATTTCATCTAATATAAAACTAGGTTGTGCCCCCAACTTCGCGGCTCGTTTTTTCCGGATATATACATTGGATAAACTGCCTCGTTGGCCGAGTGGTTGCGAGTGTGACTGCCGGTCAAGAGGTCTCGGGTTCGGGGAAATTATTACTGGGTTTTTAAAAACTCTCAGTAGTAGCACGGTGTCTGGAATTGTGCCCGGTACATGGCAATAGGCTCACCCCTATTACATGAGACTCATAACATAAATAGTGAAAAGTGGGTGTTACATTGTACTGTGGCATTAAGTGCCGTAATGTGCACCTTTCCCTACCCCTTCGGGGGTAAAAGGCGTGATGTTATGTTATGTTACATTGGATAAAAATTTCATTTTATATTCCTACCTATTGAGTCCTTAAACTACTACCTTTGAGCTACCTTACAGCCAAATCGGTTAAGTTGTTCTTCAGTTATAAATAGTGTATGTAACTAACACGACTTTCTTTTATTATATAGAAGATAGAAGAAGATATTGATATTATAATAAAAAAATAAGAAAAATTAAGAATCCATTTATTTCTTACTTTACATTTTACTTCTTGTTGTTAGTGTTGGTTACTATGGGTCCTGTAAGAACCCCTATTCGGGTAAAGGCCTCCTCCAAAGTATTCCACTTGTCTCTATTTCGTGCTACTGTAGTCCAGTTTCGAAGTAGTAGCAAGTAAATGCGTAATAAATTCTCATTTAATTATAAAGCACACATTGCCTATTGCCATACTGTATAGGTAGTTAAGTACATTTGCCCAGAATCATTGGTCATAATGAGCTATAAGATTTTCGAAATACAATCTACATGTACGAAACACATCTTATCTGAGAATCAGGCCACTAGAGCATTCTCATTTGAAATACTTATCATAACAATACGCTATAAATAAATTAACAAATAGGGCAAGTTTGATAAAAACGTTATTAAAGTTAAGTTTAGGACAGAAATAACTAGGCATAGGTACTTTTTGTATAAAACAATTTTCTTTAGTTTAAATCCTTACTAGTCCTTACTAATATTATAAATCTGAAAGTGAGTTTGTTTGTTTGTTCCACCTTCACGCCGTAACTACTCAACTGATTGCTTTGAATTTTTGCAGACGTAAAGTTAGAAGTCCGGATTAAATAATAGGGTACTTTTTATCCCGGAAAAAAATGATATTCCCGATTGAAAACAAAAGTGTTGGAATAGATGGCGCTGTGTATTGGTATATGTCACATAGGCTATTTTTTATCCTTTTGTGACGCGAGCGAAGCCGCGGGTAAAAGCTAGTTCTTTAAAAAACACGTTATAAAAACTGCCTTTAACTCCCTCTTTTTGGTATTCTAAAACCTAAATGCAACAAACACTTTTCTGAAAACCGCATCAAAATCGGTTGAACCAAACGCGAGTTAATCGCGAACAAACAAACATACATACAGAGGCCTTAGTACAAGTCTGATTTACGTTTAAAGTATTCGTAACGACGCGTTCGGCGTTGTGATTGGCTGGTGTCAATGAACCAACCAATCAAAGCGCTGAACGCCGTCTCGTTTCGATTACTTTAAACGTAAATCAAACTCGTACTATAAGCCCTCAGGTCAACCTGAGAACCTAGGTATTTTTTTAAGTTGATTAAAAACTAGAAATAGGTACTACTAATAATGCACCCTTATGATCAGGAGAAATGAACCTAACTATGTACTTCATCATCATCAACAGCTTATAAATGCCCATTGCTGAGCAAAGCCTCTTCTCACACGGAGGTTAGAGCATCACCACGCTTGCTCAATGCGGGTTGGCGATTTTTTTTTAACCAAATTTATTCATTGAAATTTTACATACCTCTAGATATTGCCTTAAATCTAAACTCGCCAAACTTTGACGTTTGATGGCGAGAGGCGCTCATTTTACAAACTATTTCTATTATTGTCATAATATAATGGGAGTCTTTTTTTTTCCTTAATATATAGGTAGGTAGGTACACGATTTCAAACTTATAATTAGAAATTATAAGCCCAGGTTTTTATTCTCACGATGTTAACCTTAACCGTTGGTCAGTGTTGTCTAAATAATCTTAGAAAGTACATGTAACTCGGAAAAAGTCAAATTGGTACTTGTCTTTTATTGGTTTCGAATGGTTTCGAACCTGCACCCTCGTGCATGTGAAGCAGGCGTCTTCAACCTCCGGACCACCACGACTTCATGTACACGACAATAAGTACTTAATGAGCCCAAACTCGGTATATTTATGGGCTGGTAGTTCAAGGCTCCATTTGAATTCGATCATCAGACCACCTCGATCGTACCATAATGTTATATTATGGTCATCTAATTTACACACACTACACACACACACACCGAGTTTCAGTATAATACAACAGTCAGAAGTGTGTGCAATTTAGATTCCTAAATTTTATTACATAGTTCGATGATTTATTTATGTAATTATCCGTGTGGGAGAGCCATGATTCCACACGGCCTCACAGAAAACCGGCGTGGAACAATTGGTTACCATCAGGTAATTCGTCTGCTCGTTTACCGTCTTATCTCATAAGAAATGACTGCACGATTGGTGCGGTGGCTGGGCAACCGGCTGCCGTGCAACGTGTCGCGGGTTCGATTCCCGCACGGAACAACACTTTGTGTATTTGATCGTGATCCACAAATTGTTGTTTCGGGTCTGGGTGTAATGTGTCTGTGAACTTGTATGTTTATAAACGCACCAACGACACAAAAGATAATCCTAGTGTGGGGCAAAGTTATCAAAAGAAAAAAAAAGTGATCAGTGTGTGTGTACATTTGTACAGCACACACAGACGTCATATGGTATACTCACTACTAAACGTATGTTTTTAACCAAATTGTCCAATTAGCTGCCTAAAAGCCAATTACCAGTCCCATTAGTGATGAAGTGAAACTAATTTGATGGCGTACACTTACACAGTTTAAAAATCTAACTATGGTTTTATGGTAATGTAATAAATAATATTATATGGCTGGCAATTTTAATGTCATAACGTTGTAACTAACATATCTATTTTTTATAATAACTATCGTGAGACACATTAAACTAACTAAAATCGCGAGTTACTCACGTGAATATGAGTAGTTCGAAACTAGTAGAGCTTTTCTCAGTATATTCACGTGAGTAACTCGCAATTTTAGTTAACTGTATTTAATTTATTTTTCTAAGCCTAAGGACTTACGGCGCGATTTTATCCCGCGCCCGCCGCGTTTGCAGGCCCGAAGCCTTTGTAGAATAAAGATACGTGTGTAAAAAATCAAAGCAATTTTCACGGCGCGTTTTACGTCCGCGGCGGTTGCGATTGTCTGCGGCTCCCGCCTACCGTGCGCTCTGCGATTGGTAGGCGGGCGATCGCAATGGGACGGCCGGTTTAGAACTCAACCATAGTTTAACCGCCCGCACGTCTTGCGATAATCAACCGCCAAGTTTGCGGGCGATAATCGCAACCGCGGCGGCTGCGGGATCGCAGAAAATTGCCGTCTCGTGAATTTCGAAAATTCCACCTCCTTTCCACCACCGCCTAATACCCAATTGATGTTTTTTACCCGACTGTAGGAAGGCTATTGTTTTTTAACCGACTTAAAGAAGAGGTTCTAAGTTCGCCCTGTGCAAGTTGTCCTATTAGCTTGATTTGCAGGCCACTGTACATTAGGCACTGTACATACATTAACTTTTCTATTCATTCGTTCGACTAGTGTTTATAGGTCATTTGTCTAAGAACTGTCCGATCAGGTAAAGTAAATATTAGGTTTTAGATTTAAATATTCTCAAATACTTAGTAGCTCGGTACTTCACTGACTATCCTTTATCTCCCTTCTTTATTCAAGGAATTCAAGCATGATCATAATAATAAATTTTCTGCGAGCTAGTAGCTAATGGACGGGCTGAAAGTTTTTAATTATTAAGCTTTGCCTGCTTGTAGAAGGTGTATACTATTATGAAAAATTAGAGCTTTGAATAGAAGTAAAGGTTAAATATCCCGTTTTTTTAGTTAGTTAGCTCAAACGCCTGATGACAGGTTCACTAATACCAAATGAGAGGTGTACATATCTCATTTATTACTAAATGCAACTATTATACATATAACAATTGAATTCAAATTCTAAAAAAGTACGAAGCAAATTTCAAAGATAGTGGGTGTTATATTAATATATTTCTTCGTGTAATAAGTTTACAGATAGTTTTTTATCTAGCTAGTTTATTCAGAAGATGATTTGTCAAGATCTCGTGATTTTATAGCAATTGTACATTATCATACTCGTATCACATCACGAATTACTTATAAAAAACGATAGGTATTTAGTAAAATGATATAATATGTAAATAAACGTTTCATAAGCCAGTATTAAAGCGAAATTAAAATATGAAATATTAAAATGGCGGCTCGGGACAACATTTTTAGACGATAAAGCGAATTCCTTTATATTGAAATTCAATGCCCGGGTTTTGAACAATTAATTTAGTATAAAATTCTGATCTCGTTATTCCCATTAGGTAAGGTTCAGAATCCTATTTAAAATTCCATTTGAATACTTTATTTTTTGTTGGCCCTGATCCGTACAACTTTTTTTTATTAATTATTTGGTTAAAAAAGGTTTTGTTTTTTAATTAGCTTTCAATCCATTCGAATTCTTGATACAAACGTTTATTAACTGGATTATGGACTGATACATTTTTTAATATCACATTTTTAAAACAGACTATGACAACAGTTTTTAAATAAGAAAAAAGAGTGTACGCCTTTTCAAAAGAACAACAACGGACTTTAAACTCATCTGGTTGTCTGGTTGTCCTTGGGTAACTCTAATTGCTTACCATCTAAAGACCCGATTAACCTTTTACTTCTCTAACATAACATAACATCACGCCTTTTATCCCCAAAGGGGTAGACAGAGGTGCACATTCCGGCACTTAATGTCACTGTACAATGTAACACTCACTTTTCAATATTTATGTTAATAGGGGATGAGCCCATTGCCATATACCGGGCACAATTCCAGACTCCGTGCTACTACTGAGAATCAATAACCTACTACAGTTATACTTTGTCCGGCCCGGAAATCGAACCAGAAACCCCTTGCCCGGCAGTCGGACTTGCGACCACTCGGCCAACGAGGTGAGAAGTAACTTCTCATATCATAAAAAGGACTCTTACCTTATTATAGCTGCCATTCTCGTCATCGAACCCGCAGTTGTTGGGCAGGTTGGCGCGCGCTTGCACCTTGTTGGAGTCCAGCCCCAGGAACCACACCTCAGGGTACTTCCTGACTTCATTCCTCTCCCATTCTGATAACCTGTCTCCGTACAGCTTCAGGGCTTCTGTAACCAAAGAAAATATGTTCTGTAAGTCATGAAGTCAACTATTTGATAATTGTCTGCCACGATGATCGAGTCGTTTTGCATACATGCTTGAGTGAGGTTACCAGAGGCCCAATTACCCTTCCCCAATCCCCGAATCCCCCACAATCCTCAAATTCCCAATTTCCAAAAGGCCGGTAACGCATTTGTAAAGCCTTGATGCTTCAAAGGGCGGCGCCGATTGCTTACCATCGGGTGATCCGTCTGCTCGTTCACCGGCTTATGCCATAAAAACGAATGAAACAAAAATATGAAATCTTTTACATTACCATACGCCGGTTCTTAAACCCAAATTCAGTTTACGCATCTCGGTGTAAATCTCCTAGTACCTCCATAAATAGGGTGTACGTCATAACTCGACGATAAATCCGAAGTCGATACTGCTGGCAGTGACCTACATCTCCCATAACATCCGGCTGGGTGTGACGTCATCATGTGTAATGACGCGATGTGACACGTGTCGCGTGCAAAAATAATGAACCGTTACATGATGCTAACGGAACAGACTTAAATTTTTTGGAAATACTGTTAATTAATGACATGCAATGTCGCATATTGAAGACAGTGAATAATTGAACATCAAGAGTTTCTTTTTACGGTCAGGTTATGTTCCGAAACATATGACATACAATTACATCGCTAGTCCACGAAAATCCTCTTACACTATAGCTCTCCTCTATTGCCCTAATACCCGCCTACCAGGTGCCAGGTGTGGCAAGACATCGCAAATTAAAAAGCTCAGGTTTACCAGAGAACACTGCTGCTCGGTCCCTATGATTTGTACAGTCAAAGGTCAAAAGTGCCACCATGAGTGATGTTCACACGGCAATGAGTAAGTAATTTCATATTAATGTGCATAAAAACACGTATGTGCATGCACGGATAAAAATATGCGTGTGCATGTGTGTATAAGCGCTGCAGCGCAACCGATAGTAGTCTTACGGTGGCAGTTGACTTTGACCTTTGACCGTACCTTAATCATGTTTACCACAACCGCAGGACGGCAACTGAAGGGTGAAGATAAATAAAGGTATGCACATATTCTGCTGTCACGACGTAGCATCTGTTATGAAGACTTAAATTATGACTGAATCATCATGTTTTTCATCAGGCTGTAGGCTGAGGCGCACATTACACTGACTGGCGGCGCCACCGTCGCGTTCATATCTGCTCCGTGTTTATAAATATATTAAAAATAGTTAGTGATCTAATTTCGTAAATATTACTAGCTTAAAGTTTTAACTAATAGCTAACAAAGTGATGTGATTGTGGACACTGAACAAGTTATCGTAATAGAGGAGATATTACAGATTATATGTGAACCAAATCTGATCAACACTCAAACCAACAATATCCCAGCCAAAATTTTGAATAACCGTTTGTATGATTCCAAATACCGAACACTGTGCTAACTATACATGTAGTTCTTGTGTGAGAGAGGTAACAATTGTGCAATAATAGTGTAAATGGTGAATAAAAAAGTTATCTAATAAATATTAAAAAAGTGACGGTTGATTTCGTAATTTCGAATTACCTCAAACAACATAATGTTTTTAAGAATACTGTCTCAATTTCAAGAAGCACTACTATTTCGCTCTAAAGATTAATGTTGATGTGGCCCGTTTACATGCGGCGCGACTGTTGAGTAAAGGCACCCGAGTTCGCGCCTGGGTGGTCAACGCCGTCTCTTTTTGTGAATGTTTCTAAATATTGAAATCGTATTTGGAGTAATAACGAACTTTAAAATAAATGAAAGTTGTAAGCAGCACAGAATAACATTTGGACAGAATCTATCTATAATTGCATCGGTTCGAGAGTCCCGCACTAGAGGGCAGCACATGTACTCGGTCACAGAGCAAAAACTTCATTCCTTTTCGAAACTAAATATTAGCTATTATTATCAAACCAATTGAAATTTGATTCGTCACTATGGCAACATTGAACTGTGCAGGCTGCAGGAACATTTTTAAAACAGCTAAGGGACTGCAATGTTCGAGTTGTCATGAATGGTATGACTTGCTATGTGCGAATGTTGTGGAAAAAAAGTTTAAGCTTATGAGTAAAGAAAAAAAATTAACCTGGCAATGCCTGACCTGCTTGAGTAAGCTCCCAAAGGCAGACAATACCAACACGCCTGCTCGTTCCGGCCGATCGGATAGTCCCATAGCTACTAGTCGCAGTCCCTCTCACAGTAACCCAGACCACTTTGCGCAACAAACCCGTGCACATACAGCCGTTAAAGGTAAACAACAACACATTACTGACTGAGCTTACTAGCGGCACGTTAAAGGAGCTCATCAGACAAGAAATAAATGCTGCCCTGCAGGTGACGGTTAGGGAAATAATAAATAAGCAGATCATTGAAATTAAGGAAATTATAGCTGAATTTCAGAAGTCACTCTCTTTTTTCAATTCAAAATACGAAGAATTGATTGTTACCGTAGACAAACTTACTGCTAAAGTTGACTCGCTGGAAAAAGAAAAATATGGGTTGCAAAACACTCTGGTGGGGGTGACGAGGCGTATGAATTTGTTCGAACAATATGCACGCTGTCAGAATGTTGAAATTCAGTGTGTACCAGAACGCAATACAGAGAATCTGAAGGACACTGTGGTAAGACTCGGAAGAGCGATTAAGTGCGAAGTTCAAGATGATGACATCCATCGTTGTACGAGATTAGCAAAAAAGGATCCAAAGAACACAAGACCGAGGTCTATCTTGGTCAAATTCAACACCTCACGTACCCGTGACACTTTTTTGGCAGCCGCAATTCAATACAACAAAAGTAACCCTAAGAACAAACTGAACACGACCCATCTAAACTTAGCATTAGATAATCCATCGCCGATTTTCGTTGTCGAGGGTAAATGCTCCCTAATATTGTGTGCTGTGTATTTGCCTCCGCCGGTACGTGTGGAACATCTGGAACATTTTTTCGGGAACTGTAATGGTGTTTTAATGTCTAATATTGGTGCCCGAGTTTTAATGGTCGGAGACTTCAATTTGAGTGATATTTGTTGGACTTCGAACGATACCAGTGAGTCGTGTATAGCCGCTAGGAACGGCGGTAGTCGCCTCGCTGATTCCTTGCTAGATTTCATGGCATTGAACAATTTGAAACAATTTAATCATATTAGAAATTTTTCAGGATAAAACTCTTGATTTAATTTTGTCTGATATTGACCAAATGGATGTTAGCATGTGTTTGGATCCCATCAGAGAGATTGACAAGTATCATCCAGCAGTAGATTTTGTTCCGCGTTTGTCTGTGAGATTCGCTTATAAACCTAAAGCGATGGAAAAACTGAATTTCTATAAAGCCGATTATGAAAGTATTTTCAAGGCACTTGATGGTGTCAATTGGTGTACTGAGTTCGAATTGTGTGTCGATGTAGACACTATGCTTGACAGATTTTACGATATAGTCAGAGACGTTATCAAGAAACATGTGCCTCTAATTAGGAGTTATTCTGGAAAATATCCACCATGGTACTCCTACCCACTTAGAAAGTTGCTGAGACGTAAGCTAAAATATCACAGTAGAATTAAAAGATATAATAACCCGTTAGACATTATTGAATTTAATTATTTGCGAAAAGAAAGTAACTTACTTATTAAGAAATGTTACAGCACTTATATCGAATCCGTGGAGAGATCAATAAAGTATCATCCTAGGTTCTTTTGGACATATGTAAAAAAATACGTAAGTGTGAGTCTTCCTACCCTTCCAGAATGTTTTTTGATGACGTTGAGGCCACTAACGCTAAAGACATTTCTAACCTATTTGCCAAACAATTTGCTTCTGTTTATGCTCCTCCCGATAATAGTCCTTGCACAGTCCTGACAATTATTCGTCAAGGGCAACGTTGAGGAATCCTGATATTGACAATTTTAGGATATCCCAAGAGACCGTACGTAAAAGCTTGTCCGCGCTTGACTTAACAAAGGGTTCTGGACCTGATGGTATACCTCCAGTTTTCTGGTTGCGTTGTGCGCATTGTCTGTCGTTTCCTATATCTTCTATCTACAATACTTCTCTGGAAACTGGTTCGTTCCCTGACAGATGGAAACATGCTAGGATAGTTCCCATATTTAAAAGTGGCCGGAAGGAGATTGCCTCTAACTATCGCCCTATCTCGATTCTCTCGACTCTGTCTAAGGTCTTTGAGAAACTTGTGTACCCGATTTTTTATGATCACGTAAAAAATATTTATCTGGGAACCAGCATGGCTTCATCAATAGAAAATCAACTAACACTAATCTAGTCAGTTACATATCTGATTTATCCACGGCTGTTGATCAAGGTATGCAAGTAGATGCAATATATACTGACTTTTCTAAGGCTTTCGATAGGGTTAATCATGGGTACTGATTGGAAAATTGCAGATCCTAGGCATCACAAATACTATGTTGGATTGGTGTAAATCTTACCTTGATTCTAGGTCATCCTCAGTTGTTTTGGGTGGTGATGAGTCCACTTCATTCTATGCTACATCTGGTGTACCACAAGGATCTAATCTGGGGCCTCTTTTTTTAATATCTTTATTAACGATATATCCGACATTTTTAGTTTCTCCACGCCCTATCTCTTTGCTGACGATTTAAAGTTGATCCGAGTGATTCAAGGCGAAAATGATATCATGCTGCTACAAAAAGATATTGACAGTTTGAGCGGATGGTGTCATACGAATAAAATGCAACTCAACTGCGCCAAGTGCTACCACATAAAATTTACACGTAAGAAAAATATATTTCAGTCTTTCTACACCATTCAGGGCAATAAATTGACGGAGCTTACTGTTATCCGGGATTTGGGCGTTCAACTGGATAGTCAACTATGTTTCAACCAACATATTGACACAATGATTTCCGCTGCTTATCGGGCTCTTGGATTTGTCCTGCGTTCGTCTAAAGAGTTCAAGAAACCCGAAACTATGATACTGCTTTACAATAGTTACGT